CCAGAAAGAATGGCTATCATCAAGAAATCAAAACATAACAAATACTGGAGGGGCTGTGAGGAAAAAGGAACTCTTCTCCACTGTTGGTGGGAGTGTAGACTGGTGCAACCACCATGGAAATCAATCTGGAAATTCCTCAGTAAACTGGGATTAGAGGTCCCATTCAACACAGCTGTTCTCCTCCTGGGTATTTTTCCAGAAGAACTGAAAAGGTCATACCACACTGATGTATGTGTACCTATGTTTATAGCAACACATTTTGTAATAGCTAAATCTTGGAAACAACACAAATGTCCATCAACTGAGGAATGGATAAAAATGATGTGGTATTTTTATACCATGGAGTATTTCTCAGCTATCAAGAAAGATAAACTAGAGGCTTTTATAGATAAATGGATGGAACTAGAGACTATACACATTAGTGAAATAAATCAGTTCACATGTGTAAACATCATATTTCCTCCCTACTACAAGAACCTGAAAGAGTAAATAAAATCTGAAAGGTACAATAGATATTGTGAAAGGGAAAAGAAACTGCTCAAATAGGAAGGAGCAACTGGGATGAAGGAGGGAGAGGAAAAAGAAAGAACAAAGAGGGAAAAGTATGTATATATAAATACACAGGATAACTAGGATAATTATACTGCTAATATCTGTTGATTGATTGAAAGGAACTGTTAATGTGTAATTGATCAATCTTGCATGCCTATATCTGGTTATATTTGCAACCATTTTGAAGATGACACTGTATAATGTAACAACCATTGTTAACATCCTATCACCATGTTTTCAGATTCTGTATCATTTTTATTGCTCTTTGTGCTGTTTTGGTTATGTATTTGTTTCTGTGATATTGTTTTTTTTTAAAAATGACAGACAAAATTTATATGTATATCTAAAAAAAATCTATTTACATGGATCATTGTAACTGATATGTATTGTCTTATCTTTGTCAAATTATTTTTCTGATCTTGCTTCCCTATTTTTCCCTTCTGTTTAATTGCTTGACTTACTTGGTGGCTTCTTTATGTTATTGTTCTTGGAATTATGGTCATTTTTACTCTGTCTAGAATATTTTTCAGTACTCTTTGTAGGATTATTTTGGTGTGCATAAATCTCTTCAGTTGTTCTTTGTCATGGAAATACTTTATTTCTCTGTTAATTTTTAAAGCTAGTTTTGCAGGGTTCATCAGTCTGGGTTGGAAGTTGTTTTCTTTCAGGACCTGAAATCTGTCACTCCAGGCTCTTCTTGAGGGTTTGTGTTGAGAAATTTGCCATTATTCTTATGAGCTTTCCTGTATAGGTGATTTGCTTCTTTTCTGTAACAGCTTTCAATATTCTGTTCCTGTGCTGAATTTATGGGATCATGATTATTGCATGTCTGGGTGTAGATTTATTTTGCTTATGTCTAATTGGAGTTCTATATGTCTCACTTATTGTATGTCAGATTCTATTCCCATTCTTGGGAAATTTTCTGCTATTACTTCTGTGAATAATCTCTTCATGTCATTTGTGTTAATGCCTCTTTGCATCATCTTATAGCTGTTCACTTGTTGTTTCCTGGTTCCTTATTTTTTTGTTTTTTTGTTTTTGTTTTTTTTCCAGTACTGGGAATTGAACTCATGACCTTGTGCTTGCCAGGCAGGCAGGCTCTGTGCCACTGAGCTAAATCCCCAGCCCCTGGTTCCTTGTTATTTTTAAGAGATTTGTCCTTTAGTGATTACTAGCTGTGCTCCTGTCTTTAAGGTCTGCAAGTCTCTCCTCAGGTTTTTTTTTTTTTTTTTTTTGGTTTTTCTCCAGTACCAGGAACCGAACTCACGACCTTGCGCTTGCCAGGCAGGCGCTTTGCCACTGAGCTAAATCCCCAGCCCCTCTCCTCAGTTTTTTTCAAGTGGTTTTGCCAGCTTTCAACAGAATTTTTAATTTCCTGAATATTTCTTTGAATCTGTTTCTTGTATTCTAAGTCTTTCCTATATTTTTCCTTCAAGGTTTCCATCATTTTCCTATGTTCCTCTATTTTTTAATCTGTGTCTTTAGATATGTTGAGCAATTCTTTCATTATTGTTGTCATTTCTTTTGTCACCTGAGAGATTATTTATGATCTGATTACCTCTATAGTGTCATGGAGTTGTTTCTTTACTTCAGTTGCTATCATTTCAGAAATTTCAGGTGTGTGACTTCTAATCAATAATAGCAAGGCCTCTTTAAGATAAATCTGTTCTTCAGGGATATTTCCTATGTGTTGGAGACTCTTGTTTTTTGTCTGTCCCAAAATCCTACCTTCCCAATTGTGAGTTGAGTGTGGCTTTCTGTTTGGCTCAGTCCCTAATCTTTGGTGTAGGGCTCTGGTGTGGTTATTACACCTAGAACTTCCCAATATTGTTATACAAGGATTAACAACTGATTTCAACAGACATAACATCCTAGCTACAGTAGCACAATTAAAAATAGTGATAGCATCAATCATAATTTAGAAATTGACCAACTCTAGTAACTATTCATTTTGTACTTTAGATCATAAGAGCAAAGTCTATAGTTATATAAGAGAACCCATCATAAATTAGGAGTTTGTATGCAAAGTTTTTCCTCTTGTTAGAATTTATTTACCCTTTGTCTATTCCGTGTGTGTTTGTCCCTAAGCACAACACTGTTTCACCTAATTTAGCATCCGTTTGGCTTTTATTTCAGACTTTTCTGTCCTACTAGCCTCACTTGTCCATCATGTGTGTCCTAGTCTGAGTCCTACTGTGTGGCTATTGTCCACAGGTGGCCTGGTCCTGAGGTTTAGGAGGATGGCCCAGGCAACTGCATTTTGGGAGGGGGCAAAGTCTTGCTATATAGGTCAGGCTGGCCTTGAACTTACTATGTAGCACAAGCTGGCTTCACACTCACAGTGACTCTCCTGCCTCTGCATCCTGCCTCATCCTAGCAAAACCATATCTTATGCATAAAAGTGTTCCCAGATTTGCAGCATGTTAGCAATGGCCCTCCTTCATCCTTTCTAAGGCTTGCTTTTAAAAGTTTATATCACAAAGGGCTGAGTTAGGCCCTGTGCAATCCTGCTCTCAGAAGCCTGTCATTCCTGTCCTCACTGGGACCCTTGTAGATGTTGTATTATGGAGCCATACCTCCAGCTCTTGAACCATGTACTTAAGTATTTATTATTTGGATAGAAGAATTTAAATATATTAGTCTAAAGCATATCACAGCCTGTGGCAAAGGTTTAGAAAGTAGCAGCAAAAATATGAGTTTTAGGAAATCATATTCCAGTGTCCCACAAGGTCCTGTCATATCTGTGCCTGTGTCCTGCCCTTTTTAAGTGCACAGTAGGAGACAGAGGAGAAATATCTAACTCTCCTTTCTCTTGTGCCAGCAAGAGGAGGTTGTGGTTTGACCCATAGCTATCATACCCCTCCACCTTGCTTCACTTCGCTCTGGACTAAGCACTGGAAGATTGATAGGGCAATTTGCATCTGGTCTCAATATTTTCCCTGAGGTTGCTTCACATTATCTCTCCAGGTCACTCTGACAGGAAGTGCAGCTTGGCTAGTTAGCCATGTTACCCTTTCATATGCCATCCTTCCAACTTCTGCCTCTTTGAAGAAGTAACAGGGGAAATGCCCCTAAGCTGGTACAGATTAGGGAGTAATTCAGGCTCATTTTTAACCCCTCCAAACTCTGAAGCCCCAATAAGCTATGAGGAACACAGCTAACCCTCTTCAAGAGTTTCAGGTTTTGGCATCAACATTTTTCACAAAGATGTGATAGGTGTGAAACAGCTGGCATCTTCCCAACATTTTATTGAACTGCCACCATGATAGCTGCAGCTGTCCTGGGCACCTTTCACCTGTTTGGACCAATCATAGGCTGATACTTGTGCCAATCAGCTGGCCTGAGTTTGTACCAATCACAGGGCTACAGCTGCTATAGCCCTCCCTTCACAGCAGCACTCCTCCATAATTATTGGATTAGTCCAAGAGGGCTTCCTCTAAGGTACTGACTGCCACTTTCCCCCATGCTTCTGCACAGCTTTTTGGTCCTGTAAGTCTGCTCATGAGTTTTTTCTTGAGTTGTGTGGGCACATGGGTTCTAGGCAAGGAAACAATGCTGGAAGGTGGACATGGAATACAATGAAAGGGGATGCTTAGGTGTGTGTAAGATGTTGTGTATAGCAGGCCAGAGTATGTCACATTGTCTCCCAACTATGGTTGCTCAACTTGAGAATCCAGATTAACTAACACAAGGACTGGGTCTTTCTCCTGTGCCCTAATGCTGTTCTGGGACCTTTTTCAATATTTTGAATGCCCAGAGACCAAGACCCTGTCTTGTTTTAGGAAGTCCTCCCTATCTGGTCTTGTGATCTGAGTCCTACACATGATATAAGCACAAAGGAGGGGGATGTGCAATTTTTTGACTGTCCCAAGATAAGGGTTATTCACTTCTCCACTAGAGAGTGCACATTTACCAGCAGCTTTCTTAGCCCTTGCTTCCTGGGTACTTTAACTCCCATAGGTAGATTGGTGAGCAAGGTGTTTTTATAAGCTTTCTTGTAGTACTATAGGGACCTCCTTACATAACTTCTCCTTCATCTGGAGTTCAGGCATTATAGGCAGTGACTGGAACACAATTCTTATTCTTACTCTGTTCTAAATATACTATAGCTTTTATTGAGTTCTTTTAAACTGATGTGTTATTAAAATTGTTTTAGTTTAAATATTTCAGGAGATGCATGTGTTAATGAGCTTTACTTACTATATTAAATATGTTATGTTAAATATATATAGTTACTTTATATTAAAACCTAACATCATATCCATTAGCATATATAATTATAATTAGTCAAAATAAAAAAAATCTGCTGTTAACAGTTTATAGGTTCATAGGATTTTAATTTCAATGTTTTGATGTTTTTGGGACAGGATCATATTATGAAGGTCAGCCTGGCCTTGAACTCACTACATAGCCTGGGATATTTTCAGACAAATGGTGATCCTTCTGCTTCAGCCTCCTAAGTGCTATGATTACAGGTACGTACTACCATACTAAGCCTACAGATTCATAGGATTTTCTATTTTAAAAAATTCTTTTTGTCTCAGTTACCTGTTGGCAGAGAATGTTTTTGTGATGGTATCTCTGCATTCTGATCTAGAAGGCAAGTTTTATGAGTTACTATGAGCTTGAAAACACTGCATTATCTTCACTTTTAGACCCTCTGGCTTTGGGAAACTAACAAATAAACAAATAGGTTTCTGCCTTTCCTTCGTGCCAGAAACTGTTCTCTTGCCTTTCTCAGTATCTTGAAGTCTTAGAGACCAAGGTCCTATCTTGTTCTAGCAAGTTATTTCCCATCTGACTTTTAACATGCTGGCCCTGAACTCAAGACAAGGGAGAGGCATGCAGGATTGCCTCAGGTTGCACCAGGAAGTACTGGTCTCACATGCATGACTGTGCAGCATTGGCTGTTTGCCTGCACACCCTATTACCCAGTGCTAAGATGACCTTTTTTCAGTACTGCAAACTCATCCAACCTTCTACATACTGCTCTATCTGCCAGACTGGAACAGAAACAATACTTTAAGCTGCTCTTCCCGTGGTACCCACCCAGTACAGTTTTGAGCTAGAACAAATCTCTCATTCTTCCCCATTGTACTACCAATACTTCCCTGGCTTGAAACAGATGTTTATGGGCTACCAGTAAACACTGTTTCAAATCCAGAGTCACCATTTCTCTGGTGCTTACAGCCCGAATTTTGTCAGGAACCTCTAAGGAGAACAGTGCAATTTGCTGTCCACACACACTGAGCCACTCCTTCTCCATGGCTCCTGTGCCTGCCCAGATTGCTGCCTGATTTCTTCTTTCTGGGCCATCCATCCTTCCATCCAATTATCTCTCCATAGCCTGAGCCTGATCCAGTAGAAACACCCATGGCTCTTATGCTCACCTTGGTTCTCAGCCTCCTCAAGCTGGGGTCAGGTAAGCCATCCAAGCTGACTGCTCTTAGTCTACATCTTATTGAAGACCAGTTTTATTCTTTTAGCTGCAGCAATTAACACACAATGGGTTGAGGAGCTCTTTGTTGTTGGCATCCTCCCTGCTTCTCAAAAGCCTTGGGCTGTGTCTACCAATCCCAAGGCTATGATGATATGGAGCAGCATGATGGACTCAGGCACTGTTTAAAATTGTTATAGAAACCCTAAAATAATGGGAGCAGGCAGCTAAAGGGAGGCCATGGTAATAGGAAGGGGACTCATTCCATTTGTTTAGACAATTAAATTAAATTATTGTCCAGTTGAGATGTAGGGGTTTAGGCAGGAGTAGTCTTTATCAGAGCATTCAGGTTCTGACTTGCCTCTCTACTAACCTTTTGATTTCCTAAAGAGACTTTAGAAATGTCTGTTTGGGATCCCTTGCAATGAGTGATAGCAACCTGCTTGGGAAGATGTACTACCTCTGAGAGTTGTAGAATTTCTTGTTTGTGCTTTATAGATGATTGCTTATTCATTATTCAAGCTTCTTTTATTCTAGATTGTTGCATGGGCTTATAGCACCAGAAAGGCATAGTTGGAGTTGGTATAGATATTTAGCTTTTTCCCTTTCCTAGTATCAATGCCTGAGCAAGAGCTATGTGCTCTGCTTTTTGAGTACATAGGGGAAAAGAATTTGAGGAAAAGAAAATGGGGAATTTGGCCTCACTTTTGGCTGCACCTCCTGTCAGAGTGGCCTGAAGAGATAATGTGAAGCAACCTCAGGGAAGATATTGAGACCAGAGGCAAGTTTCCCCATCAGTTCTCCAGTGCTCAGTTGGGAACAAAGGGAAACAAGGTGGAGGGGCATAATAGCTGTGGGTGAAATCACAAGAAAAGAATTTGGCCTCACTATCCTGTAGCAAACTGACAACTACATAACCTACCTTTGATCTCCTCCTTGGACAAAACTATTCTAATCAGTTAACCACATCTCCTCAGAATCTTGGATGAGCAGGTCACTGATGTCCTGCTTGCCTGTAAAGGTTTGGGAAATTCACAAGTTTGGAATTTAAGTCTGTATGGTAACCTCAGGAGTGTCAACAAGTATGGCCTACTATAGTCCCAACAGATAAACTCTGCTTTGCACTTCGCTGAAATTGGAAAATTGTTCCCAATTTTGCTAGTGAATGTTTTCCTAAGGGAGTAGGATACAATTTTAATTGTCTCCTACTCCTAAGGGAGTAGGAGACAATTAAAATCTCATGGTTCAACATTTGACCTTTGGATTTACACATCCAAGAAGCAATAAAGAAGCTCTGACTAGGGCTCTCCTTGACTCCAACTATGGCTCTAGATCTAGAGGAAGATTTTCCAGAGAAGGAAGTTAAAACAAACTAAAGGAATTGAAGTTGCTTGCCCATGAATCCATGGTCACCCAGGATTTCTCCCAAGAGATGGAAGTGTCCATAGATTGTATGTACATTGTACATTGACCCAAGCCTCTTTACCAGAGTAGGGGTGAGAATTTTGCCTGGTCTAAGCCCTCTCTGGGGGTGGGTACTGTCAAGCCTCCAGTCCCATGAGTCATACACACTGGTGGCCTGACACAGAGCAGAATCTGGGCAGTGGCTTGGTATAGTCTCATGGCAAATGATCAGTAATATTGCAATTTATTGACTATCCCTGAGTTTTCCCTTAGATGACTTGGGTGTGCTTTTAAAGAATTACCAATTGCGACAGCCATAATTTTGGCTTGTCTTTTTTTCTTGATGCTTCTATTTTTATCCTCATCTAGATCATGATTATTGAACAAAGAAAAGGCTGTGTTGAACGTTTGGGTCATATGGTCCTGAGGTTCCATCTGCAAATCTACCAGTGTCTCTTGAAAATACTGAGTTTCTGGGGTTCTAGTTCTGGTGCTGGAATCTCCTACATGTGGTTCTAGGTTCATTTTATCTTGAGCAAATTTTAGGCAAGACAAATGTAAATGATAACAAAGTTTTACATTTATTAAAGGTAGAGTCAGGAAAGGTACAGGCTGTGCAGAGAAAGTTTGGGCCAAGTAAAAGTATGAAAAGAAGTAACACTGTATTGTGAGGATGGACAACTGTGCAAGACAGAACACTTGCAAAAAGCTCAGTGTTGACTGTCCTTTATATATCTCCCAATCCTCTCAGGCTGATGTGCAGTTTAGGGTGTCCTATTGGCAACCTGTTTGAAGTCTTGCAAGAAATCCATGTTCAAGGCTTTGGGAAATGTTCTGTGTATGTGTCTTGGAATTTTGGAATTAACAGGTCTCACCCACTTTCCCAGGAAGATTTTCCATGCCCTAGTTTCTTCCTTCAGTAGTATCACTGCATGTCTTTTGGTTTTTTGTTTTTGTTTTTGTTTTTTGTTGGTACCTGGAATCAAACTCATGACCTTGCACTTGCTAGGCAGGTGCTGTGCTGCTGAGCTATATCCCTGGCCCCCCATAGCATGTCTTTTGGAATTTTGTAGAATAAAAAAAGTAAATAGTATAGATACTATATATAAATACTATAAATAAATATTAAAGAAATAAGTGGTATAGAATAAAGAAATACATAGCTCAAATAAATCTTTACAGACAGAAAATACATATTCCTCTAATTGTATTCATAAAACATTTGCAAAAAGGGGAAAAAATGTTCCAAATTGGAGATGTTATGGCTACACAATATCATCCTGGTCATTGAAAAGAAAAAGCGTATTTTATAACACAGGAAAATGGAAAAGGGACTATTGTAAGTTCGTTTCATTTTGTTTTGTTTTGTTTTTGAGGCAGATGACTAGAGGAAAGAGCAGGTAGATGTACAACCTCCTTTAGTGAGAGAGTCTACATTTGGAAATTACCTCTCATACTTCTGGATAACTTAGTCTCTCTGATACATGGTTTTCTCACCTTGAAAATGGAAACATTACTGTTCTTCTCAGGATGTTTGTGGGTACAAAATGTAGTACCTGATGTAAATGTGTTCTGTCAAGTGCAAGGGGATATGCAGATATATCTCTGGGTTTAGAAAGTAGATCATGATGTACATTCCAACCCCTTGACACATCATCAGCACTTTCTATTCCCGAGTAGGTTTTGCTCACATATCTCTTGTTTCCTCTTACAGGCCAGTGGCAGGTGTCTGGGCCAGACAAGCCTGTACAGTCATTGCTGGGGAAGGACACAGTGTTCTCCTGCTATCTTTCTCCTGAGACAAATGTAGAGACCATGGAAGTGAGGTTCTTCAAGGATCAGTTTTCTGCAGTAGTCCACCTCTACAGGGATGGAGAAGACCAGAAATATATGCAGGAGCCAGCCTATCGAAGGAGAACTGTGTTGGTGAAGGACTTTATGGCAGATGGGCATGTCTCCCTTGCAATGAGGAACATAACCTTGTCAGATGCTGGCCTGTATGGATGCTGGTTTTGCTCCCAGTCTTATCACCAGGTTGCCCCCTGGGAGCTGCAAGTGTTAGGTCAATTTCTTGCTCCAGAAATCTCATGACTTAGTTGTACCATGAAACCATCTTAATAGTTTGTCATATCATGAAGGCTTTGTTTTGTTTTGCGTTGTTTTATTTTGTTGTACTAGGGATTGAACTCAGGCTCTTCACAACCTTTCCTCCTCCTTCCCTTCCTCCCTCCCTCCCTTCTTTCCTTACTGCTTCCCTCCCTCCCTCCCTTCTTCCTTCCTTGCTTCCTTCTTCATACTGGTGAAACCACAGCCTTTGGACTAAGCTACACTCTCAACCCTTTTTGTTTGTCACTTTGAGACAGGGCTTCCTAAGTTACTAATTTACCTGGGCAGTGTTCAAACTTGTGGTCCTCCTGCTTCAGCCTGTTAGAGGGGTTGGTATTACAGATGTGCAACCCCATACCTTATTAAGTGCAATTATTTTCTAAGGGACAATTTTCCTTTTTTTAGTTGTGTATCTTTTATTTTTCTTATTATATTCCTTTGCTTGGAACTTCCTGTACTATACTGAAAAGAACAGTAAGAAAGGACAACTTTGCCATTTTTTAAATCCTAGATACTAATCAATCTTTCATCAATAAGTGTGAGACTATCTGTAGGAGTTTGAAGATATTCTATATGAAATTGAATTAATTCCACTCCGTTTGTAAATTGTAATAGAGTTTTTTCTCTTTTCTTTTCTTTTTTTTGGGGAGTGCCAGGAATTGAACTCAGGACCTCGTGCTTGCCAGGCAGGCACTTATGCCACTGAACTATATCTCTGGCCCTAGAGTTTTTTTCTAAATCATGAAGTGTTACTAGATTTTGTAAAATACTTTTTTCTGCATAAGTTTATATGACAACTTTACCCTTTTACCATGGTAGGTTACATTGAATTTTAATATAGTTTTAATAAAGACCTTTAATAAGTAAAAAATGGTTGTGATATATAAATCTTTGTACACATAGACTTGATATAATTTATGGATCTTTGGATCTTAGGTTCAAGGTCAATATTGGTCCATGGAGCTTTTTTTACCATTGGTTTTGGCATAGGGTGGTACTGACCTCATAAAATGAGCTATGAAGTACTTGCTCTTTAAAAATATTATTTTAAATTTACACATGGTAATTATACATATTTTGATGTATAATGTGATATTTCAATACTTGTAAATAATGTGTAATGATCAGATCAAAGTAATTAACATCTCTTTTGCCTTAGACATTTATAATTTTTGTTTGTTTGTTTTGGCATCATTTAAACTTCTCTTTACAAGCTTCTTTGAGATAATCAATTTTTATCAGCCACAGTTACCCAAACTGTGCTACAGAACATTGCAGTTTATTCCTGCTATCCAATTGTGCCCCTGTACTCAGTAGTCATCTTCTCTCTATACCTCCTCCCCCAGTGTTTTCTGGAAAGATTGTGAAAAATTGGTAATTGTTTACATATTTGGGGAAATTCTTCAGTGGCATCATCACGGCATTGAGATTTCTTTCTTTTAAACTTTCAAATGACAAAGTTGATATCTTTAAAGGTTTCAAAACTATTTAGCATTTATATTTCATCTTGTTGAATTTTAATAGATGAAGGTTTTTGAACAATTGGTCTCTTTTAAAGAGTGGTCAAAGTTATAAATACAAAGTTCTTACTAATATTCTCTTCATGTACGTTTAATGGCTTCATGGTCTGTAGTGAAATCTGTTTTATTCCTAATATTAGTGAATTGAAACTTATCTTTTAATTTTTTTCAGTATTGCTAGTGGCTTATCAACTTTATTAATTTTTTAATAACTAGCTTTCTGTTTTACTGATTTTCTCTATTCTTATCCTGTTTTCAATTTCATTGGTTTCTATCATTTTCGTTAATCTTTTTCGTTTGCTTTCTTTATGTATATTTTCTTATTTCTGTGTTTCATGAAGTAATTTAGATTATTGAATAGAAACTTTTTTCTAATATAAGCCTTCAGTGCCACAAACTCCCACTCAGCAACTCATCTGCACCCCACATATTTTGAAAATTTTTGTTTTCATTTTTGTTCCATTTTATAATTTTCTTTTCAGACTTCCACTTTGATATGGGACCTTTTTTTCTTTCTTTCTTTCTTTCTTTCTTTCTTTCTTTCTTTCTTTCTTTCTTTCTTTCTTTTCTTTCTTTCTTTCTTTTCTTTCTTTCTTTCTTTCTTTCTTCCTTCCTTCCTTCCTTCCTTCCTTCCTTCCTTCCTTCCTTCCTTCCTACCTTCCTTTCTTTTGTGGTGCTGGGAATTAAATCCAGGGCTTCATGCATGCCAGGCAAGCACTCTACCTTTGAGCCATATCCACAGTCACTGATCTGTGCACTACTTTTTAAGTATGCTTTTTAAAAATTTCCAAATATTTAGAGACTTTCCTAAACTGTTTTTGTGATTTACTTTTAGTTTGAGTCCATCATGGTTAGAGAACATATACTGTGTAGTTTAAGTTCTTGTAAGTTTGTTGTGGTTTATTTCATGGACCAAGATGTTGTTTATTTTGGTGAGCATACCACTGACATTTAGAAAGAATGTTTGCTCTGCTTTTGTTAGGAATAGTCTGTAGATGTGAATATCCTGTTCGTTGTGTTTTTCATATCTTCTGTACATTTGCTTGTCTTCAGTTTAGTAGTAGCTCTAACAGTTGCTGAGTTTTAGCGTTTCCATCTATACATGTTTTCTGTCCTTGGTGACTGTTCAGTGTATCTATATTTAGGGTTGTTATATCTTGGTGGATTTATCTTTTTATCATTACATGGTGTCTTTCTTTTCATAGTTTTCTTGCTCTGAAATCTACTTTGTATGATATTAATGTTGCTACTCCTGTTTTTAAAACTAAGGTTTATGTGGTTATATAATAGTCTGACTAATTTTTTATTTCTTTTTTATTGGTATATATTATTGATACAGAATGGAGATTCATTCTGGTACATAGGTACATATATATAAGACATTTTGATGAATTTCACTATCATTGCCTCTCTCTCACTCCTCTTCCCTCCCCTTTGTCCTCTTCTTTATCTCTAAAAGTCTACCTTCTAGTTTTCAGTCATCTCTCCTACATTTCCTTATTTTTAAGTTTATTTTTAGATTGCTTATATAAGAGAGAACATGCAAAATTTAACTTTCTGGTACTTACTTATTTCATTTTTCTGAAATTGACACAAATCATTCTACTTTATGGCTGGTAATTCTCCACTGTGTATATAAACCACATTTTTGTTATCCATTCATGTGTTGAAAGGTATCTAGGCTGTTTACATAGCTTAGTTATTGTGGATTGCACCACTGTACACATAGGTATGTGTATATTACTATGGTGTGCTGTATTTGATTCTTTTGGTAATATAACAAGGAGTGGTATTGCTAGATCAAATGATATATCTACTCTTAAGTTTTTGAGGACTCTCCATACTGATTTCCATACTGAATGTACAGTGTACGAAGGTTCCTTTTCCCTGATATTGTCACCACTGTGCTGGTATTTGGGAATCCATATACCAGCTCTACCCTTAACTGCAATTAAACCTAAGCCATTGTTCTTGCTTTGCTTTCTTATGCCATTTTTAGACCTGCTTGCTTGTCTACTTTATCATCTCTAGACATGTGAGTAATAAACTTTATCTTACCTTTTGGGTACATATATAACATCTTCAGTCTCAATATATAAGGCAGAATTGGGTGGTAGAGGGGAAGCATCCATCCTGCTCTGAATGGTGACAAGAACTGGGCATATCCTGTTGATTTTTCTTTCCTTTTATTTTTAACCAAGCTATGTCAGTAGTTAACATATGATTGGGTTGAACTTTTTAATCAGCTTTGTCAATCTGTACTTAATTGGTTTATTTAGATCACTTCCATTTAAGTGAGTTATATGTAAGGCCTAAACTTGACATCTCATTATTGATATTGGTTTATTTCTTTCATTTCTCCTTTTACTGTTTCTCTTTTATTGACCTCATATAGTTTGCTGAAGTATTTTTTTTAATATACAGATGGATAAAGAAATGTGATACATAATATCTGTGTATCTGTTAAGGGTACTTAGGCTAATTTTATATTTTTGCTGCTGTGCCACAGTAATATAGGAGTACAGGCATCTCTTCAATATATTGACTTCATTTTTTAAAAATACATACCCAAAAGTTACATACCTGGATCAAATGGTAGATCTTTTTTTTTTATTTTTTGAGGAACTTCCCTACTGTTCTCCTTACTACCTCTTCTAATTAAAATTCCCACCACGTATGAGAGTTTCTTTTTCCTCCCACATACTCAATGCCATATACATTTTTTATTTTTTATAATAGCCATTCTAACTAGGGTGAAATGATATTGTAGTTTTTATTTCCATTTTCCTGATGGCTAATGATATTGAGCCATACATATATATCCATTTGTATTTTTTTTATTTGAAAAGTGTCTATTCAGATCACTTACCCATTTAAAACACTGGATTACTTGATGTTTTGTTGTTAAGGTGTTTTAGTTCCTTCCATATTCTGGATAACAATTCTTTGTCAGAACTGTGGTTGGCCAATATTTTCATTCAGTCTCTTCAGTCTGTTGATTGCTTTCTTACCTGTGCAGAAGCTTTTTAGTTTGATGTAAACACGTTTGTCTATTTTTATCTTTATTAGAACATTTTAAAAGTTCCATCATGACTTTAGAATTTTTTAAAATTTATTTTAAAGAGAAAAATAGAAACAAAATAAAATAATCCATGCATTGGTATTATTATCTTCATAGTAGTTACTCAGAGTACAAGGTATAGGCATGAAATATTGTCCAAACAATATTAGCACAACTCTTTCTTTTCAATGAACTAAGAGAAACTAGCTGTATAACTATCTTGGCTATCTTTGTGTGTGTGTGTGTGTGTGTGTGTGTGTGTGTGTTCATTTTCTTTTCCTTCTTTTCTCCTTTCCCCCAGACTTCACAATTTTTGAGCAGATAATTTTATAATGTTTTCTTAACTTTTGTTTCAAGTATTACAAGTGCGTATGTACACACTTATCACAGGCTATTTTCTACATTTTATCACCCTGATTAAAATATGGAAATCTTACTTTCATTGGTGTCCCCTTAACCTCTCCAATTTAAGTAACAATGCCTTGAGTATTTCTTCTAT